GGTGTGTGCACTCACCAGAGAGAGACACAGAGAGGGTAAATGAGAACTCACCCCCACCCCCAGTGTGCATAGCCACACTGCAATCGCTTGGGATTTTAGACATGTACACACATGCATCCAGTATGTTTTTTCAGGCTGCCAGGTCCAGGACTCAAATTATGGTCAATCATGTGGGATCTAGCTGCTTTAACCGTCACACCGCAGGCTAGCCCAAGATTTTTTCCCAAAGAATTATTTGTTCAATTTTATCGATTGTTATTTTAATTTGGCCAGAGAGAGAAGGAAAGTGAGAAAGCAAGCTGCCAGGTCTTGGACTCAAGCTGTGGTCAACCATGTGGGAGTCCAGAGCCCTAACCACCACACTACTTGGCCCGAGATGAATTTTTTAAATTGTTTATAGATAAGCAAGGATGATTTCTTATGGACAAACGATAGAAAAGATGTTTTTTAACACTCATAGGTCTAGTTCTTCAGGTCATATGTATGGAGAAACAGTTATTAAAATTTGCTTTATTTTTCTGCTGAATCAAGCACTAGCTACCAGCTACCAGTCACAGTTAGGGGTCTTTGAGCTTTCTAGATGACAGCACAGTTCGCACTGCCTTATGGATAACCATGATACACTATCAATAGGCTCCAGTGGGGTATGCACATGTAGCTTGTCCAGGTGGTCAGGAACACTCCTATTTGTTTGCTGTGGCTTTTAGTTCTTGGTTGTATCTCCAAATGTGAAACAGCGGAGGGGTTCCCGCAGCCCCCACAAAGAAATTAACAGCAAACAGACTCCAGTTTTTTGGAATAATCCCAAGTGAGTGTCTTGACCAAGTAAGCCCTGTGGCCATCAGGACAGAGGACTGAGCCGTGCTCCATTTTTCTGCAGGCCCCGCCATGTCAGCCAGGCCGGTACACACCAAGCCCCATTTCATGAGAGCCCAGAAAAAAAATTGTTCTGGGACCAGCCGGATGGTCGTACGGCGGCCTCAGCTTCTCAGGCAGCACCAGCTCCACTCTGTCCATGGGGCGGTGGTAGATGGCCCGCAGGCCCCGGCTGCCAGCAGTGGACAACTTGGCCTGGCAGACAACGAGAGGCAGCACCTCAGCTTCCACCCACAGCAGCCTACCAGGGGCTTGGCCTGCCCACAGCCAGCCACCTGGCCACCAGGCCTGCTCCCAGCCTCACGGAGGGGCCAGGCTCCATCTGTCCCACCCTGGTCCACCCGGTCCTGCCTTCCATTAGAAACGAGGGCTGTGGGAGCAGCAGCTGCTGGGCTGGTGTCACTGAGCCTGCCCAGCACCCAGCTGGCAGCGTGAGGTGAATGGTTTTTAAAGACCTACAGTGAGGGAACCAGCAGTTAGCATAATGGCTATGTCACTGGACTCCCATGTAGTTGACTGCAGTTTGTGTCCCAGACCCGGTAGCTTAATAAAACTAATGCCGGGCACGTGTGCATGTGTGCCCAAGATCTTGAGAGGAGGATGGAGGAGAAGGGATTGTGGCATGGCCATCTCCCCTGGGGGGGGTGATTTCTCACTTTCTGTCTCTATGTCTCTCTCTGTCTGTCTGGTGAGCACACATGCCCTATAGCAAAAACCTCTCCAAAAAAAAAAAAAAACCTGCTCCTGCCAGGGTGGGTTGAGGCTCACAGGAAGGCGACGCAGGCAAGAAGAAATTCAGGCAGAGACCTCTATGCTATTTTTTAGCATGTTCTCAGCCGACTACAGTCAGAGCAAGCTCAAGACTGCAGCGTCAGTGGCTAGGAGACATACGTATTTACTGAGGGATGTTTATAGGAGTAGGAGGGGTGAGGGGAAGTAAAAGATTTTACTCTAAAAAGTCAGGTATTCAAAGTATGGAAATAATAATCATAAAACATGATGTCTGTTTTGTTTGATTAGGTATAAACAGCCACAGTTCTCAGGGCGAGGAAGTCCATCTGTCCGGTGCATTTTCTTCTTAGATCTTGATTACCGGATAGGGCCTTTTTGGGTGAGGGGGCTTTCAGGAAGCTTGATAACTTCAGTCCCAGGCCAACTTAATAACTTTGGCCCCAGGCTGGCTTGATAACTTCAGCCCCAGGCCAGGGCGGCAGTGGCTTGCTGGTTACAAAGGTCTAGATAGAAATCTTGTCTTGTTAAGTAAAGACACGGTTAATATATACTAAAGTGGAATATCTATATTACAACTAAGGGGGTGAGCCTATTGCCCATATGGGAAAGGAATGTGATCTTGTAAGCAGCTTAATGACTGACCTAAAGGTTACTGTGTACTTGGGACCCTCTACGTGCTGTTCTATACAATGGCTGTGGCTCAGGGGAGCAGCAATCTTTCCTTGTCCTGAGATCAAAGGTGGCTCATGGTCTTCGTTTGGGGTATCAGTGCCTCATGGATGAGCCCCTGAGCCTCTCCCAGCTACTGAGGTCATTTCACCAATTTAGTAGCATTCCATTAACCCAAACCTTTCTAATGCTATCTGTGTAATCTTCAGTAGGAGAAGTGAATGCAGCATTCCTTATTGACATTTTCCAGACAGGTGGGGTGAGTCTCATGGAAATAATTCCCATTCGCCGCCGTCTTAGGGGACTGCATTCTTTCAGGATTATTAATTGGTTTTATTGTAAAATTTACAGCAAGGCTGGGGGTATTATTTTGCCCTTACAGGGTACCAGGGTACTGTAATGACAGAAAAGCCCATGACAGAAAGATTGAAAGCAAAACAACACAAACCAATACAACAAACACAGTTGAAACCTTGAGCTCACAGCTATGGCCTTGCCTGCAGCTCTTCTCAGCCAAGCCTTGCTTAGACATGAGAGGCAGCTCCCCATGTTCTGCCTGTGTTGGCTGCATGGCTTCCGCCAAAAACCCACAGTGGTTTCCAAAATTTGGCCAGCAATTCATTGTGCCTTCTGCACACCAGCTGGACTCCGACCACATCTTCCTCCTCAGTGTGGAGAACACTGCTGCCATTTACTGAGCCTGCTAGGCTTATGATCCTCTTTTCCTGGGAGCGGAGACTCAGAGAGGGTAAGCCATAAGTCCAAGATCACACAGCCAGTTAGGGGCAGAGTCTGGACTGGAACCCAGGGCAGTCCAACTCTCCTCTCTACAGCCCCCTCTGGGGGTTAATGCCCAGAAGGAGCTGCCACAGCCCCTTTGCCCCTTGAACTCCAAGGACAAGGGGGCATGTTTAACCCAGATAGAGGTTTGGAGACACGAGGGATTCCCCCAGTGCTTTGAAAGACCGACAGGAGAGTGAGGTAGTCTAGGCGATGCCCTCCTCTTACCACAGAAGAGCTTGAGGCCCAGCGTGAGGCACCAACTGGGCCAGGATCACACTGCAAGTTGGGGACAGACCGAAGTAGTAACTGAGGGCCCCACATCGCATCTTGGGCTCTGCCCAGACCTAGGCCTGGCTGTCGTGTCTTGCTGTGCCTTCTCTTCCCATGGCTGATCCCCGGCCCTCCCTCTGGCTGGAAGCTGAGGGTCCAGCCTCGCCCACAGGCCCGAGGGCCCCAGGTGTCACTAAAAGGCCTCCACTCATTCGCTCACACAACCCTTGAACAAGCACTTAGTGAGTGACCGCAGCACACCCACCTTCTCTGGGTGCTCATGGTCCTGAGCATAGTTGGGGAGACTGAGTCAGACTGCCACTGTGCGGGGCTCTGACTGTGGCCGAGGGAGAAAGCCCCTGGACCAGCTCAGGGGTAGAACAAAGACGGCCTGGACGAAGGGCCGGTTATCTGGCTCCTGAAACAGCCTGACGCTCTGGGGCACCAAAGGCAGGCGGGCCAGCAGGTGGCGTGAAGGCCAAGGCAGCTGGAGCACACAGAGCCAATTGCTTGGTTCAAGTCCCAGATTCGGCAGCTTGGAAAACACACTGGGCATGTGTGCATGTCCAAAATCCTGAGAGGAGAATGGAGAAGGGACTGTGGCATGGCCATCCCCTCTGCGGGGGTGCTTTCGGCTCTCTCACTCTCTCTCCGGTGAGTGCACGTGCCTTATAGCACACTAAAAGGGAAATGGAGGGTGGGGGGGACACCCACATGAAGAACGGCGAGGCGTGGTGGGAGGGTGACGTCAGGCGGTGGGAGCGTGATGCTGCGCGGTGAGAGCACGGTGGGAGCGTGACCTCGGGCGGTGGGAGCGTGATGCTGCGCGGTGAGAGTGTGACCTCGGGCGGTGGGAGCGTGACGCTGCGCGGTGAGAGCATGGTGGGAGCGTGACCTCGGGCAGTGGGAGCGTGACGCTGTGCGGTGAGAGTGTGACCTTGGGCGGTGGGAGTGTGACCGCTGCGCGGTGAGAGCATGGTGGGAGCATGACCTCGGGCGGTGAGAGCGTGACGGCTGCGCGGTGAGAGCATGGTGGGAGCGTGATGATGCGCAGTGAGAGTGTGACCTCGGGCAGTGGGAGCATGACCGCTGCGCGGTGAGAGCGTGGTGAGAGCGTGACCGCTGCGCGGTGAGAGCGTGGTGGGAGCGTGACCTCGGGCGGTGGGAGCGTGATCACGCGCAGTGGGAGTGTGACGTCGGGGTACTGAGTCGCACATTTTGAAACGCAGAGGCCAGCCGCAGGAGCACAATGCATGTGATGCTGAAGCCACGTGGGAAGGTCCCCGGTTCGTGTCCTAGGATCTCCGTGTGCATAGCCAGCAAACCGCACTGAGGGTGGACCGCTGCCCAAAACTACCGACGTGGCTGTCCCTGCCGCCCTCTTTTCTCTCTCATGGATGAAACAGACTTAGGTTATGTGAATTCCCCGTAAATAAAAAGAAGGTACCAGGGACCAGCAGATGGCGTGGTGGTCAAGGCACTGGACACTCCCACATGGTCTACCACAGTTGGAGTGTGGCTTATTTTCTCACTTTCTCTGGCTCTCTCTGGTCAAATTAAACTGAATGACTAAATAAAACAAATAATTCTTTGAAAAAAATGAAATGAAAAAATAAAAAGAAGTTCCCAGGCCCTGTCAGGGCAGCTTCCCCTTCCCCAGCCAGTTCCCCTTTGCTGGTGACTGACGTGGCATCTGGGGCAGTGGGGAGGGGCCCTGAAGAGGTTAAATGTCCTGGGCTGGCAGGCAGGAGCCAGACCCAGCTGGGGTGGAGACCCTGCAAAATGCTGCCCCTGCCCCTGCCCCTGGCGCTGCTGCTGCTGCTTCCATCTGGTAAAGAGTGCTCATGGTCCTGAGCATAGTTGGGGAGACTGAGTCAGACTGCCACTGTGCGGGGCTCTGACTGTGGCCGAGGGAGAAAGCCCCTGGACCAGCTCAGGGGTAGAACAAAGACGGCCTGGACGAAGGGCCGGTTATCTGGCTCCTGAAACAGCCTGACGCTCTGGGGCACCAAAGGCAGGCGGGCCAGCAGGTGGCGTGAAGGCCAAGGCAGCTGGAGCACACAGAGCCAATTGCTTGGTTCAAGTCCCAGATTCGGCAGCTTGGAAAACACACTGGGCATGTGTGCATGTCCAAAATCCTGAGAGGAGAATGGAGAAGGGACTGTGGCATGGCCATCCCCTCTGCGGGGGTGCTTTCGGCTCTCTCACTCTCTCTCCGGTGAGTGCACGTGCCTTATAGCACACTAAAAGGGAAATGGAGGGTGGGGGGGACACCCACATGAAGAACGGCGAGGCGTGGTGGGAGGGTGACGTCAGGCGGTGGGAGCGTGATGCTGCGCGGTGAGAGCACGGTGGGAGCGTGACCTCGGGCGGTGGGAGCGTGATGCTGCGCGGTGAGAGTGTGACCTCGGGCGGTGGGAGCGTGACGCTGCGCGGTGAGAGCATGGTGGGAGCGTGACCTTGGGCGGTGGGAGCGTGATGATGCGCAGTGAGAGTGTGACCTCGGGCGGTGGGAGCGTGACGCTGCGCGGTGAGAGCATGGTGGGAGCGTGACCTCGGGCAGTGGGAGCGTGACGCTGTGCGGTGAGAGTGTGACCTTGGGCGGTGGGAGTGTGACCGCTGCGCGGTGAGAGCATGGTGGGAGCATGACCTCGGGCGGTGAGAGCGTGACGGCGGCGCGGTGAGAGCATGGTGGGAGCGTGATGATGCGCAGTGAGAGTGTGACCTCGGGCAGTGGGAGCATGACCGCTGCGCGGTGAGAGCGTGGTGAGAGCGTGACCGCTGCGCGGTGAGAGCGTGGTGGGAGCGTGACCTCGGGCGGTGGGAGCGTGATCACGCGCAGTGGGAGTGTGACGTCGGGGTACTGAGTCGCACATTTTGAAACGCAGAGGCCAGCCGCAGGAGCACAATGCATGTGATGCTGAAGCCACGTGGGAAGGTCCCCGGTTCGTGTCCTAGGATCTCCGTGTGCATAGCCAGCAAACCGCACTGAGGGTGGACCGCTGCCCAAAACTACCGACGTGGCTGTCCCTGCCGCCCTCTTTTCTCTCTCATGGATGAAACAGACTTAGGTTATGTGAATTCCCCGTAAATAAAAAGAAGGTACCAGGGACCAGCAGATGGCGTGGTGGTCAAGGCACTGGACACTCCCACATGGTCTACCACAGTTGGAGTGTGGCTTATTTTCTCACTTTCTCTGGCTCTCTCTGGTCAAATTAAACTGAATGACTAAATAAAACAAATAATTCTTTGAAAAAAATGAAATGAAAAAATAAAAAGAAGTTCCCAGGCCCTGTCAGGGCAGCTTCCCCTTCCCCAGCCAGTTCCCCTTTGCTGGTGACTGACGTGGCATCTGGGGCAGTGGGGAGGGGCCCTGAAGAGGTTAAATGTCCTGGGCTGGCAGGCAGGAGCCAGACCCAGCTGGGGTGGAGACCCTGCAAAATGCTGCCCCTGCCCCTGCCCCTGGCGCTGCTGCTGCTGCTTCCATCTGGTAAAGAGCCGGGAGGGGCCCAGGGAGGGGAGAGGAGGGGAAGCTGCTGCCGAGGGAACTGCCCATCCCTGAGGGCTGAGAGTCCAGGTCCTCTGGAAACCAGTAACCCAGTCTCGGGAGCCCAGGTCCAGGGCAGAGACGGCGGTGCGGTGTCTAGCCTGCAGGCAGGGCTCCAGGCAGATGGGCACAGCCTTTGAAGATCCCAAGGGTGGGCCCCATTAACAGGTAGGTGGCTGGAGGGCTCTCGTGAAGGACCCCAGCAGCCTAGGTAATGAGTGAGCTTCCGGTCTCCCCACCTGGAGGGGAAGGCGGCAGAGCTGGACGCCCACCACGTAGTGAGTTTCTGGGCAGGAGGTGGAGAGCAGGTGGCAGGGCATGGAGAGAGGAGTTCAAGAAAGCTTCACAGAGGTGGGCTTTGAAGGCCGAATGGGAGTTCTCTAGGCGGGTGGTGGGGGGTGACACAGTGGGGAGAGGGAACAGCAGACCTAGAGGCATGAAAAAAAGTGAGCGTCCCAAGAACCACATGTAGAAAAAGCATCTAGAAACGCATCGCGCACCAGCATGCCCCAAGCCCCCACGCGTGTTCTCGAAGCCACGCTCTGTGAGATGACGCTGAGACTCAGAGTTAAGTGATGTCCCCGAGTCACCCAGGGTTTCACCTCGGGCAGTCTGAAGTCAAGCAGGAGCAGCGAGAGGCGGGAGCTGAGGCTGGTGGAAAAAGCCGGAGGGTGGGCCGAGGCCCCTGGGCCGGAACTGAGCTGCAAGCCTCTTTCTCCTGAGGTGCAGGGTCCGAGCCGGCCAAGGCCTACAGCGCAAAGGGCCCGGGCACCTGGCCTTGGCAGGCAAGCATCTTCCTGGACAGCCGGTACCGCTGCGAGGGGGCCCTCATCTCCCCTGAGTGGGTGCTCACAGGAGCCAACTGCTTTGGCAGGTGGGTGAGGAGCGGGGTGCAGGGGGGTAGAGAGGGGCGTGGCATGGAGGCCGCTGGTCCTCCACCTCCCCCTTCGCCTCTGTCTCCCCGCAGTTGGCCTCGGTCTCACTTCACTGTGACCCTGGGCCCAGACCGGCTGCAGCTGGACACCTGTGAGGGCAAGTCTGGCGTGGAGGAGCTGCTCCTGCCGGCGCGTGGGCCCCAGGGCTCTGGGCTCCGTGGCCTGGCCCTGGCACGGCTGGCCAGGCCTCCGTCTCTCAGCAGCGCAGTGCGGCCCATCCCCCTGGCTGTCAGATCCCAGTCTTTCTTCCCGTGGAAGCTCTGCTGGGCCCAAGGGTTTGAACCCGATTTCGGTAAAGGATGACAGGCGGCTGGGACGGTAGAGGGTGGCGGGAGATACGGGACTGGGGCAGGCCGGCAGCCAGGGTGGAGCTCAGGCCTGCAGGGCTGCAGTCCCCAGAGTCCCTGAGCCCCAGAGGACAGTGCGGCTCTGGCCAGCGGCTTGCCAGCACCAGGGGCTTGGACATGCAGGGGGAGGGTGGTGCTGACGCCCGGCTAAGCCCGAGTGGCCCCCAGCCACCTTTGCCCCGATGGCTGACTGCGTACCACCTTGTCCTACCCCTCCGAGCCTCAGTGTGCCCAGGTCCCCACGGGCTGACACATCCCCAGGGGACAGGGTGAGAGTCCAGCGGAGGATGGAGTTGTACCAAGAGTTTCCCTGCTGGGAATGAGCAGGGCCAGGAGGCCCAGGGGCCTAGGGAGGCGGGGTGGTCTTGGCACAGAGGGGAAGCTTGGTGCCAGTCCTGCCCACCATCCCCCAGATCCCTACATCCTGCCCCAAGAGCTGCGCGAGGTCCCTCTGAGACCGCTGCACCTCAGCTCCTGCAGAGCCCACTTCCTCCTCCACCCTCACTGCGCTGACCTGAAGGACAGCCTGCCCAAGGGGTCCCAGTGTGCCAGGCCGCCCGCCGGCCCACCCGACCTGATGGTAAGGAGTCCAGTGGGCCCTGTGCAAGCCTCTGAGACCCCCTCCCAGACTCCCTTCATGTCCCACCAGAAGGTACAGCTGCACCCAGTGCCTCTTCCCCTTTTTCCGGGGCCCATGGATTGGGCTTGTCTGCCCCCGAGGGCCCAGAGCTCCCTGCCCCTTAGGGCATGTCCCCATCATGTCCTATTTGAATGTGGGGCAGCCTCTGACATAACTGAAGAACCAACCATAAGTATTTTGCTGAAAACTAAGTTTCTGGTATGTCTTACCAGACCTCAAAGGCTGCAGGAGAAAAGAACTGGACGGAACCAAAAGAATTTGTGGGAGAACGCGTTTACCTGGGAAGAGATGGCGTGCAGGGAGGAGGGAGTGCGACAGCCTCCGGGGAGGGAGCCAGGGCCTGCCTGTGCTCTGCAGGTGGCACTTGGGCCCCAGCCATCAGCCTGCCAGGCCTCTCTCAGTTGCAGGAACCCTGGGCCCTGCTCACCAAGCAGGGGCTTCCAGCGGCCCAGTCTGGGCTGTGACCTCTCTTCCTCTCAGGTGGCTGATGGGACAGCCCTGGTCTGCTCCCACGCTGGCAGCTGGTTGCTACAGGGTGTGGTGACCTGGGGGCCCTGTGAGGGGCCCCGCCTTCCGGAAGTGTACATACCTGTGCACCCGTTCATTTCCTGGATCCGAGAGAAGGTCGCTGACATCTCCTTTGACACCTGGACCAGCAGCCGCCCTTGGACCTGGCCTCTGTCCAAGCACAAGAGGCAGTGAGTATCCTGGGCCTGTGGAGTCCTGGGTGTGGATCCTGGTTCCGACGCCTGCCTGCTGCTGGCATTGTGATCAAGACACCGTCCCCACCTGCTTGTCGGCTTCCTCCTCTAACATGGAGGTGGTTCAACGATTGCTTCATTCAACAAGTGGTCACGGAGTGCCTACTAAGTGCCGGGCAACGAGGGCACGGAGGGGCGCAGTCTCTGCAGCCACCGAGCCGCGGGTCTAGAGGGAGGCGAGCATTAGCCCGACAATAATAAAGTGCGAACGTAAAACCGTCAGTGCTGAGAGGGCTCGGATCTCGTGTTCGTAGACGCTGTGACCAGCTGGGGAGGCCAGGGGTTAGCTCATTTGAACAGAGCCCTGACAGATCCCCGGGTTGTGGCCAGCAACTCCCCTGAACGCTGGCCGACGGGTGCGCCAGGGGGCTGCCCTCCGTGGGCCTCAGTTTACCCAGCTGCACCCTGAGCAGTCCCTCCTCATAAACTTTCTCGCAGGCGAGGCTCTCAGAAGCCACCAGGGCGCATCCCCTCCAGCTTAGGCGAGAGCTGCGCCGAGGTCTCACCACGGGTGCCCTCCGCCTCCTCCCCGCGCGCCCGCAGCGACACCTAGCGGCTGAGGGGCATTACACCGCCTGGTCCCGCTCGCCTCGCTCTTTCCCGCGGAGCAGAGCCGAGTTCGGGGGAACACACACTCCCGGGTTCAAGGCGGGTGGGAGGAAACAGGGCGGCGGAGCTGAATTCTACGCCGCGAGCGAACACCGACCCAGGCGGACCTTGGAGCCCCGCCCTCCCTCCCGACCACGCCCACAGGCCACGCCCACGACAGCGCCCACCGAGTGCGCCTG